CAAAGGTTTATCATTGTGCCATGAGGTGCTTGCTTCTTCAATGGCTTTTTTCGTCTGCTCTTGCCAATCATTCATTATCGACATCTCTGTTAACCCAGCATCCTCTATGCTCATTGTCGGCATCCTACAAACCCAAGTTTAATCGCCTGTTTTAAAATAAAAAATTGAAAAGGGTCTAGGAATTGTGATGTGCATGATTTTGATTTACCTGTGACTTGGTTGGAAAACCTGAGCTATCATCCTCTCTCTCTCTGTAGAGAGAGCTCCATTCACGAGGCTTGCTGGACCGAATATAAGAGGTTGGTGCTTGTGTTCATGACCCTGTGATACTGAAGCTCTTCCTTCTAACACATCTTGTGCAAATGTGGCACAAGTGATTGGTTGTGCTGGTCTAGAGTACTGTACCCTCGCAGCAGCATCTCTGTGCCAGGTTTCAGCTTTCTTTGTGCGATCGTCAAGGGCATCCCGAGAAAACGCATCCTCTCCATTCTGTTCAAGAGATCATAACAACATTTCTTGGTTTATATATGTTTATATCGAAGAGTTTGTTAGCATGTAAAAAAAACAATACGAGGGTAACTTACCTTCAACTGTTTTTCCTTTATTGCAGAGAGCATTTCCTCTTCTCTCTTTAGCATTTCCAACAGATCAATAGCCTGCAACGAAGTTTAACCAACAGATAAAGCCACATCTTGAGACAAACCATAAGATTCCAATACTGATTTTTTAGACAAACCTTACAAATAGCCAAGTTCAATGTGGAAAGCCAAGCCTGCAAAGAAACGACACAACACAAAGGCTTAGAATAAAAAACAATTCAGAAAAAGCAGAGAGCGAAACAAAAGTGCAGCCAACCTCTCTCTCTTCTTCACTGTCATCATCTGGAATGTCTTCCTCTCCAGATTCAACCGGAGTGGACAAGGCAGCTGCTTTAGTTGAACGTCCACGTCGCTCCTTCCTCTCTTTAATTTCAAGAAGCTTTGACTCTGCAGCTTTTTGACGTTTGAATCGAGCTATCTAAAAGCATCACAAACAAAAAGACACAACATGAATTTCAAAATCCAATAAAGTTTAACTTCGTTCTGGTTGGAATATAAACAAAAACAACGAGCTGGATCTCTACCTTCAGAGCTCTTCGGTCTGCAGGTGGAGCAGAACCTCCTCGTGAAGAAGCCTCCAACTCTTCTTCCGGAACAAGTTCCATTGCCTCACAGAAGGTAAAAAACTCCTGGAGACATTTAAATTATACATCAACCTCTCACTCCTACTTGCAAAAAGCATCAAAGGGAAGCAACACTCTGCAAACACACAGCAGAAAACTTACCTTCAACTTTGCATGTGAGGCCTTGACAACTGAAATCCGGTCATCCTGTATGATTTTCTCCGTCAACTCCGCAAGATAGTAAGGCACCTATAATCACACACACACAAAAAAGTATCCCCGTCACTTTAAGGCAATGTCAACTGGAAACACACAAGCTTATGATCTCCACACAAAGTAACTGGTACGCCCAATTAAGGAGCGCACAATCCGAATTTCAGACTCCACATTTGAAAGTTCAGTAGCTAAAATTCAATAAGACCAGCCAAAGTTATTCACTTTCAGCCACATGTATCAATCTTAGGAAGATTCAAAATTCAAGTTTTTGCTCTTTCCACACCAATCTAACAACAAACCTAGAATAGAAACATACCACTAACAAAAAAAATCAAACAAGAGAAACTCGATTGCAGAGAAATTTACCAAAATATACTTAAGATTGTTTGTGCTGATATCTTCTTTAGTCTCGTTAGATGAGAACAGCCCCAGCTTTCCGATCATGTCTTCGCACTTCTGTAACATCTCGCATCCTTTCTTCACAAGATCCTAAACAAACCCAAAAACAGAACAAACCCAGAAATGTTCGATTCAGTAAAACTCGCAATTCGGAATCAGCCATATCAGAAACCCTAATCGAATTCGCATACAAAAAAATTAGAAGCTCCCACCTGATCGGCAGGAGAGTCTGAAGCAGCGAGATGGATTTTCCTTGCTTGTTCAAAAAGCGCCGATAAAGGCATTTCCTCCATAGCCAAACCACCCATCACAGACGAAAGTACAAAAACTCAAATTCTCAATGAAAACGAATTCACGAAACGGGAAAATGTCTCCGGATTCGAGCTTCTTCGAGAAGTGGTGAATTAGGGTTCTAATCGAAATCTGACGAATTTACAGAGCACAACAAAAATGAAAAAAAATCTAACTGCGAAAAGCATTATAATAAACGGATAGGATCATGCCACGTCAAGTGGAGAAGGTAACCGGAAAAAATATAAGCCGTTAGATCTGTGGGAAAGCTCAAACCGACTCGGTTGTAAAAAATCCAATGATCAGATGCGGGCGGGTGTAGCGTAAAACCGCACGTGATGAGTTTCTTTACTGCTCGCAAATCGTGATTTAGAAATGGACGGCTAATAAATAATTATATTACTTGTAATAATCAATTGGTATCTATCGGCCAATGAAATAATTAACTAAAAACTGAACGGGGAAAAA